GTACTAGGAGCTGATATGACAACAGAGACTGAGCATTTCGGTTCAATATAAACAGGTAGCAGGAAATGTAAAAATTAACCAGCACTTATCAGGATTTAAGCATATTTAGCTGACAAGTTATATTTCGACGGGAAGAAGAAGCATGTGACCTGAATTTTTTTGCTAGTCACCCAATGAACTGATGTTAAATTAATGATAAAACTTTGTTTTTAAAAAGGAAAAGAAAAACCGAGATAGTATTATAACACGTACTTCTTCTTTAGATAAATGAGCAAGTCCTTGTCGTTCCAATTTACGCTTCCAGACAAATGATTCGGATAGACGATGATCACCAAATGGATTGTCTTCATTCGTATAACCTAAATATTCTTTATCCCATCCCATTCGTTCACGTCTCCAGCGTTCTTTAGCTTCTTTTTTAGCCAATCGCCTGGCTCGTTTTTCTTCGGGTGTTTCTAGAATCTTGATCAAGGCCTTTTAATGTTAGTTTTAAAGAAAAAGATAGAGAGGAAGATAATGGTTACAGAGATGGATAAGTACATTCAAAATGCCAAGAATTAGATCAACCTATAATAAACAGGAGGGTCTATCTCCTACAATACACCAGACAAACGGAATACAAGTTTGTGTATCAATCTCTGGGTTATTTAAGTTGTGTGAAGTCATACAAAGAAATAACTACAGTTTTAAACTCGCAATCTTTAGAGCAGCAGTTGAACCACAGAATCGCGAATCAAGGACTAACACGTGATTTTCTCGTATTCCCTACAGAGAAACGTAAATTATATCAAATGTTTAAATGCAAAGGTATCCTTTTGAGCTATATTAAATTTATGACTACATTTTCGCCAACAGTTGAATTTTTTGATTTACCTAGCAAAGCCCTCGTTTCACTAAGCCTAACACCACCATTAACCAACATTAGATAACAGGAGACAAGACTATGTTTAGAAATCAAAAATAAACTACGAGAATTTAGACAAATTAAAGAGACATTAGTTTTCGATAGTTTTCCTTCAAAGTTGACTTAAAGATGTATAAAACCTGATGAAAACACAAACAATAACTTAAGTGACAGTGGAGTATCAGTGAAACAGAACTCGAAGCCTGTATAGTATTGCCATGTAGAGAACTTTATGTAGGACTTTTAGCAAAGATGAGACTGTAGTGGCACTTAAATCTACAAATTCACTCAAGGTTAATTTATATATATATATGTTTCGTTTTGTAAATATACCGTTGTGGTGAGAGCAGGCTGCTAGCCGATTGGTTGGCACTAATCTACGTTAAGGTCTAGGTCACTAATATGGGCCGTGAGAAAATATGAACAAGCCTGAGTCAACAACCAATCACAGCAAAGTTAACGTGGCAGAATATGATTCGCAGAGACAACTCTATTTGTCAAGGAATCCCGAAACAACCAATCAGAAGCCTGCGTTTGTCTACCTAAACAACCAATCAGATGACTGCGCTTGTCTATAATAATGTAGTTGAAAGATGTATAAATACGTGTTGATTTTCATAATAAAACGATCTGTTGCCTGGCCCTTGTCTTCTGTTGTTACATTTGGTGTCGCTGCCTACCGACAAATGAAAAGCCTATACCCTGCAGTTTTTGATGGAGACATATGGATCTTCGGGCAGGACTTCAAGGCTTCTGCGCAGTTGAGTGGCGTTCAAGATCTGTCAGCGATGGAGCTGCTACTTGAGACGCTGCTGGGAGGTCGGGCGAAAGCAGCATATGAAGGTGTGGGCCGAAGTATGGACGAATGTTCGACAGGGTCAGGCAAACAGTTTCCAAAGTGGGAAGGACCATATATGGTCACTTCGAGATGGGGTTACGCAGACACAGTCGCAATGGCGAACAATGAGAGGCGCGTGAACGTCAGCGAGCTCCAGAAATGGATACAGCGAGACAAGCCAACGATGACGCCTGCACCAAGTAGATCAAGCCGACTTCAGTCGCACGTATTTGACGGGGGGACGAGTGTGGTGAGAGCAGGCTGCTAGCCGATTGGTTGGCACTAATCTACGTTAAGGTCTAGGTCACTAATATGGGCCGTGAGAAAATATGAACAAGCCTGAGTCAACAACCAATCACAGCAAAGTTAACGTGGCAGAATATGATTCGCAGAGACAACTCTATTTGTCAAGGAATCCCGAAACAACCAATCAGAAGCCTGCGTTTGCCTACCTAAACAACCAATCAGATGACTGCGCTTGTCTATAATAATGTAGTTGAAAGATGTATAAATACGTGTTGATTTTCATAATAAAACGATCTGTTGCCTGGCCCTTGTCTTCTGTTGTTACACCGTCACTTTCCATCTCGTCTTTTGTGCGCTCTCACTTAAGTAGCGGGCTGAGAGATCGGTTAGCTATTGTGTACATTGTTGGTGTAGATAAACGATACTCATGATCACCGCGTCTGTGTCCAGCTCGGTGGCCCTATTTTCAACCTAACGTTTTCTAAAAATATAATACTAATATAGTTAGATGAGTACAGAGACTGAATGATCAATCTCTGTTTAGCAAATCAGCACCAAATACATGCATCTGAAATGATTTCATACTTTTCAAAAGGCCACTACAAACTAGGAAAAAAGGCGCCCCCATCAACAAACGGGTACAGCTGATCATGGATGGTAGACTTCAGTCTCCCTGTTGAAATTCTCTCATGTGGTGTCCGCCAGGTAACCCGTATTCACTCACTGCCATCACGTAGCAGGGGTGTTCTTCACATAAGTGAAAGGGCGAATTCAAACGTCTGGAGCTTACAACTGGACTGGTGGACATACAGGTCCACCTACGGGAGCCGGAAAACCCCGAGTATAAACCTGAATCGGACAGTGAAATCCATGAGGACGCAGCTTCTGACGCCGTTTCACCGCCTTGTGGACCAGGCTTCAAGTCAAAGGTTAAGGTAATGAGCCAGGTAACTGAGTTCTAGAGTAATTTAGCTGACTTATACTAATAATGTTACTTTATTTAAATAAAGTACAGTGTGGCACTTGATCATAATACATGAAGCAATTTACTAATGAGGTAATCCTAGTATAAGCTTGTTTCTCCGTAAATTCATTCATGAACAAAACGATAACAACAAGGTAGACAATTTAATTTCCTCACTGTTCAACAAATCTTTCATGCTATTTATGAAGTTTCGAGAAGTCATAACAACTTAGTACATTTTCAGATTATCTTCATAGATATCCCTACAAAGGACAAGATCCCTGAGTTGCAATAGTTAGATAAAAAGAACTACTTCAAACAAAAGTATATCAGTTCAGGTTTATTCTTTATCAGTCAACAGTGCTGAATTGAAAAGAATGTCAACAAAGCATAAGTATCTAAGGAAGTGAGGCAAAATGTCATTTGTGATGGTGGCGATCAATGTTATCCTCCAGGAATGTTTATTATCAACACTGTATTATACTTTATGAATAACTACGCACCAGTGTTTGAACTACACAACACTTTGTAGTCAATCTACTGAACAACCCTGATGAACACCAATAATGCTAAGCACGTTTTGTATCGCTATTTATATGTTGATAGTAACGAATGACATTCTGGAGTAGAATTCTACGGGTGACTTCGTAATATCATATTTTATTGTCCAAAAAATTACAACACACACATAATAAGGTGTTACCTACTAGATAACATTCCAAACACAATCATAGTGTTCGTATAACTCTCAACACTTGGTTTTTACTGTTAAGTAATTGCAATAAATAACGTTGTGGTGAGGCAAATAAACGATTGTGCTAAAGCCTAATGTTAGTGGTCTTTTCAAATTACGACTAAATAACATTACGACAGCTGCACAAAAGGTGGACAAAGAATATTCCCCACCCGCTATAGCTAACTAAGAACCACATATAATAAACTCTGTCGAGATGTCATCAATTAATAAAAATAAAGTAATAAAATAAAGCGAGGTCCATCGACTCGGGCAACAGGATAGTTATTCGCTCATGACACTGGCTGGCGGTTGCGTTGAATATACCTCGGATTGGCTGAAGCTGGGATTCATGAACCACTACGTAGGATCCCAGTGGCTGAATGGTAAACGGGCTAGCCTCTTAACCGGAAGCTCCTTGTTTTGAGCCCCGATTGGTGAATAATGTTGAAGAGTCCCGAGCTGGGGCGAAACAACTGTTCAGTACTCCCAGGTTTACCAACCGTCTCTCTAACTGATGTTGGTTCTTAACAAAATCTACATTAACAATTAATCCAAATGCCTTCAAAAGACCCATACTCTAAAAATATTTTCCTATCGATTAATTCAGGACTGCCGTAAAAGTAGGAATTATTTCATCATTGAAATGCAAGATGTTATGAAAATCACTACACCATGATCTTGTCTTCCCTTTAATATTATGTACCAATGGAAAAGAAAGTATTTTGTCATAAACTTATAAATTACCTTTTTCTGTCGCCTTTCTTCACTAATTTTTTGAATCTGTTCTATTGACAGTGATAAGAGTTTTTCAGGAACTGCAGCATGCTTTTTTGTAATTCCTTTGACGGAATTATCTTCTGATAAGGATGACGATGATGACGTTGAGGAAGATGAGGATGATCTAGATGTCTTTCTATGCTTCTTTTTCTTCTTTTTATCTGAATGATGAGACTTCTTCTGATCTGAACGAGAATGTGATTTAGAAGAATGGCGATCTGATTCATGCGACTTAGTTTTATTGTATTTGTATGCAGATGATCGATCAGAATAAGACTTTTTATCATCATTGCTGTCAGTACTAGGACTTCTGCGGCGATTGTAATCCATCTTATCATATTTATGCTGTGAACTAACTGCCGATTTAACTTTGTGACTTATTGGTGAACGGCTGCGGTTCATCTAAAAACAAATACTAACTAGTTAGATGAATGAAACATTTAAAAAAAAATAATCAGAAGAAACAGTAACTAAGTAATAATTTATTATAAGTAAATATTTTAATACATCTGTACAATATGTATCCAGAAAACAGTTAGCCTTTATGTCTGAAATAATAATCAATAGCTGTGGAGAATAATGAGAAACCTGCAGCTCCTAGAATGCTTGCTTGTAAACCAGCTAGTATAAAATTTAAAATACATCATTATGTGTAAAAATTGATTGATTACCTCTAAATCCTATTCCACCACCAACGATTGCACCTGACAATGTACTATTCAACAGATCACTTTTACCACGATACTAAAAATGCAGTAAATATTACACAAGAGTAAGAAAATCTTACACTTTCAAGTGCACATTCAGTACCAGCAAAAAGTGCTCCAATCATTGCAAAACTTTTAGCATGAGATAAAGAACGAGAGTACATTTCTTTCATAACTTGCTTAGTAGTTGGAGTTTCTGCACCGTGTATAGTACTCATTGGATCAACACTGGCTGAAAATAAACCAAAAATGCCTCCCAAAACAAAACCTATATTATATTTATTTAGTTATTAGTGTGAAATTTAAATAGATTCAACCTCCAAAACAGCTTAATGAAGCCTTAAATGGACAGCTATCCATTACTCGACGCACCATCAATTCTTCATTTGGTGGTAAAGGAAATGGTAGTAATTTCATTCGAATCAACTTTTCAGGATCAGAATGAATATGATTGGTAATTGATCTTTTTAAAGATGATGGATCATCACCATGTAAGGCATTGGTTAATTCTTTTGAGAAATTTGCATAACGATTACGATCTGCCTCTGAAAGATCTAGGTAGTCTTTATAACGTTCATAGAGAAGTTCTTGTAACGACTGATTTTCAGTCTGTTGAATTTCTTCTGACATCTTAATAAGAATAAAATAATGTGAGATTTATAGTAAAGGTATTATCTTTAAAGTGACTGAGATGTCAATGAGTTCGACTTGATGAGAAAATATAGACGACGATGAGTCAATCAATTAAAGACATCTCAAGTGTTGTCTTGGAAAGAAACAATGACAGTTTACAGAGACAAACGAAAATATAATTTGAAAGTGTAGGAAGACTGGCAGAAGGAAATCATAACATTCACTTCTAAATACCTACCACCAAAGTTGACAGAATATACCACTCAACAATCTGTTATCTTGTATATCGATTATATAAAACCTAAAGCAATATACTGTTCTTATTTTGGCTTACAGCACACTAAACTATGTGACAACAATCAAACCAACACCTGAGTAATTAGATATATTAATCAACTAAATAAAGATCACTATGTATATGCAGTTACCGTAAACAAAAGTGTGATGACCTCGATAAATACGCCAATAAATCGAAAACCTAGACGATATGACTATAGGCAAATAAAGTTCCTGTTATACATTTATGTCGTCTTAAAATCCATCAATGGATCTATCCTTTTTCAATGGCTTACATGACTGAGTTTTTAAGTTTTCCCACAAATCTAACGAAAAATATTCAAAGGAACTATAGTGAACAGGAATCTACTGACTGACTGGTTTCAGTCACGCACGGATATCTACGGGAGAAAGAATACGTGCATGGAGAATAATGAGAATTTGGCCGACGTAGGAGTTCACAAAGAGTGAATGCGTCTGTGCTAGTGAAAACAATCTTGAGCCAAATCACCAATAGCCTCAAGTCATTGGTTCTTAGAGTCTCGAAAACCCCAACAAGGCAGTGTACACCACCCCATCCCCTTATGGCTTAAACAAACGGCTAAAGACTTCATGGAGTGATCCGACGTTTTGGTTTGACCGCTTCTAGGTTTCTTCTAATTTAATCCTACGTCAGCCAACATGGAAGGTGACAGCTTGGAGTGCATATACGTGTCCTTTGCATAAGACATAAAAAATGAAGTGTTGTAGGTGGTCAAAAGCATGATCTAATTCATTACTACTTTTTGTCATTTTACGGGTTAACGATTTTCATTTGACCATTAAAATGATGCAAACATACTCATCTCACTTAAAATACCAGATATATCTGTACTCTATGATGACATCTCTCTATGTTATTATTGTTTCTTGAAATTAAGTCTCCTTTTAATACATTGAAAAGGACTAGTCTTTAAAATTATCAGTGAGAGAGAAGTATCCCTAGGTTTATCAAAGTTTTGGAAGCCCTGTGCAAAAACATCGCAAGAAGTGACAATATACAATGATCTACTACAACTATTCTCAACTATCAGTGAAGTTAAATGAAGTTAACCGGTTTCCCTATTCTTCTTAGACTTTGGCATCGATGATATCCTGGAAATGTCTCGGAATGATGTGCATTAGTGATGCAGTTCTGCTGGCTGACAATATTCTGTGATAACATTTTACTTTTTTCTTAATTTATTTATTTTTGATTACAGCTTCTTTCCGCATCGTACTTTTGGTACAGGTATGGAATTTTCAGCATGTGTTATCGGTAGCCCAAATTTTGAAGGCCGATCATAGATATCAGGTGTGCGTTGGCAGGGGATCGAACCCGGGACCATTTGCGTAGTCGGCGAGATTACTAACCACTGTGCCACCGACGCACATGCAAAGATGCAATGAACCTTCCTGACACTAAAATATAACCCGGGCTACGACAAATAGACTAAAGTGATTTAACTATATATATATACATCATATCGCCCTCACAATCCGAAATGCACCTAGACATATATATATATATATATATATATATATACCGAATAAACTGCCAGCCCGTCTCCTGATGCTTAAGTTGTGTTGAGCTTGGTTTTAACAAGCGGGCATCTGAACAGGCTCCCACTTCATTTTGCGACTCCTATGTGCTAGCTCACATACCTCCAGAGCCCCTAACTGAGACAGTATTAGCCACAAAATTCGAGAAATGTTTCCCTAAAATCACTTTAATCTATTCAAATAAACTGCCCTTGCTAGCATAATCCTGTGTAATAAGATCTTTTGGATGTGTTTGTTTACAGGGAAACTACAGTCTCAATAGACAGTATAACTTATGGAGTATTATAAACAGGTGCGAATTGATCGTCGTTCGTAAACTCTTACACCTCATTTGAGAAGTAAATCCGCCTCCCGTACCCAAATAGCAGTAAATCCAATCCGGATTGTGTTGCTAATGTCAACCTTATGGTCCCATGGCCAAAAGGTGAACTCAGCCTTGCGCCTTCGATTCTGAATGGTCAAGATACGCGTGAGCCGGTACGTAATGAAGACTGAAATCACTGGTGAACCGATTCCCTAACACCTTTCCCATGTCACAGATGGATATTTTGAGATCAGCCTCCTGGTTGGTACCACGGTAGAAGCTAGCCCATCTCACCTGCGATTGAAGAGCGTCTGAGGTCAACGTCTAAATACCTATATGACACCAGTGGTTTGCCCATTACTAGTTACAGTCGATTTCTTGACCTCATTGACTATGTAGTTCATTTTGTTGGGTTTTCATTGTGACTGATAAGACATCTGTCTGTCTGTCTGAATTCAACATAGAACTTGGCACCGTACTGCACCAGCTCGAGTTGTCATGTTCCAAATAGCACACAGAGGTAAACAAGAAGATGAGTGAAGAGAATCAATAGAGTTTCACAAGTATAAGAGTGAAACAGAATGGGTAATGGTAGAAAGGAATATGAAAGATTACAGAGACTGAATACATCTGCACTGGCCATTGACAACGATCTTGAGCCATGTCACGTATTGTCTCCAGTCATTGATTCCTAGAGTCCCGAGGGCCCCAACCCGGAAGTCTGCATCTCCCTACCTGACTCAGTTTAACTGTCAAGGATTTCATGGATTGATGCCATATTTTTGTTTGGCCACCACTTACTCTTTTCCAACCTGCACCTATCTGTCAGCTAGTAGTGCCCATCAGGGGAGGCGATGGTTAGGCATGCGCACCACGTGACCTAGCCATCTCAATCTATGTAACTTTATAGCCTCGTCGATTGATTTTCCCTCTTTGCCCAACACTACGCCTAACGTCAACATTACTTACCTTATTAAACCACCTAACGTGAGAAAGAGATCGCAGACATCTATGATCAAAAAAGTCAACCTTTTCAAGTCTTCAACTCGTATTGGCCATGTTTCAGAGCCATAGAGAAGGACGGAGCGAACTGCTGAGCAGTGCACACGTCCCTTGGTTGATAGCCGGATGTCACGCCTACGCCAGAGATGGTGTAAGTCAGCAAAAGCAGCTCGAGCTTTTTGAATCCGTGCTGAGATTTCATCGCCAATCAGTCCGTTGATGCTGATACAACTTCCCAAATAGGTGAAGTGATCAACATGTTCTATCACTTCACTCCCCATCACTAAGCTAGGAGTTGACGTAGTCCAGTCCTGTAGCAGCATCTTACATTTTGCAGGGGAGAATCGCATGCCGAACATACGAAGATTGCTGCTCAAGGTGTTCAGAAGACTCTGCATTTTGTCAGCATCCTCCCCTAACAGGACTATGTCATCTGCATATTCTAAGTCCATAAGACTATTCCCTGTCGGACACCACTGGTTGTTATCAATTCAGATGACAATTCACCATAAGCCCTTACACGGCTACGTGAGTTTGAATAGAGTGCCTTGATTAGTGCAACGTACTTTCTTGGCACTCCCTTCACAGTCAAACATTGCCATAGTACCTTTCGATCCACGGAGTCGAAGGCCGCCTTCAAGTCAAGAAATATGACAATTGTTGGACGCCGAAAAGTGTGTCTATGTTCTAGAATCTGTCGAAGAGTGAAGATATGATCTATGCACCCTCTATATCAGTATTAATAGTACGAATTTCCCACAAAATTATCAGTTGCTGGTAAGCCCAAGTGCACTGATTCCACAATAAGACCGTTCCCGGTATTGCCACGCAATAGCTTCTCTATCCAGAGCACTCTACGGCAGACATCTTCAGTTCTTACAAGTCTATCATTCGGTCGTTTCGGGAAATATTTTTTCCTTCACGTTCCCAGTGGAACATAGAGCTTCAAGCTAGTGGCTTGAGGTTTGTGTAGCAAAGATGGGGTTGCTAGCCTCATGTCCATCCTTTCCTCTTTACCAGCACTGTTTCTGGCTTAGCAAGGTAATGGAGTGCGCCGGCCGGGAATCGAACCCCCGATCATGTGCATGGTCGGCGAGTGTCCTAACAGCTGTGCTACCGATGGGAAATCTTCAAGCATAAATTACTAGAATGCATCTTTGGAAGAGGCATCTATTTTCAGTAAGCTTGACTTTACACATACGTATCACTAGATACCACTTCATCCTGACAGAGTCGGAAAGAAAGAGGCCATTGTACGTTTGGATTTCATCGCATGCCCTTCGGTTTGCGCAACGTCAAGTAAACTCCCCAAAGCTTCATTTACAATCCATTGCATGCACTGTCTATAAATATTTGAACGTTGTTCTTAAAGCTAATCAAGACGAGGATCTTCATGATACATACAACAGACTTTCTCCAAACCATCAGAGCATTTGATAACAATATGTTTAACTAGGCAGTGGTTCACACTAGGCTGACGAGCATCTTTCCTGCACAAAGGATTCAAGATCATCCAATGCCTCTGTTCTGAAAGTCCCTGAGCACATTTCTTGATATAGTAAGTTATTACAGTCGATTAATTCCTCACTGTGTGCATATTATAACCATGCTGGTAAACGTACCCAGAAGACTGTGTAGAACCCTAAATATAACCCTTGGAGCACTGAAAACATTAATATAGTGATGTTACAGCCAGAACGTTAGTGCGTTAAAACGACAAACTTCCTCTCAGATTACCTATTGAGGCATCATGCTGTGGCTGTACTACAGTGGTTCATAGCCGACACCCGGAAGACTAATTTTTCCAAGCAGCTGTCTGTATACAAAATTCAAT